GTCTTGGCTACACTTACCTATTTTACATATAAATATTTATATATTCCACCAGGATACTTTGTTTTGTTCTTTTGTAAAAATTTGTAAATTGCAAAGCTCTCTAGTCATTTTTTGCAACATCTTTTTTTCCTGGATTCTGGTTGTGAATTAAGAATGGGATCTATGCTATAATGAAACCTACAGCTGGGATGGTTATGTTGGGAATTTTGTCATGAGAGTGTAGGTAACATTGGGAGTTACCTTTCCCTGAATGTCTCCCCTTTTATCACTTCAACTTAGAATTCACTATCTAATTTACATGAAGTTTAGAAGTTAGAAGTAAAGAATCCATTATCCACTTTTTGGAGACACCATTCACAGAAACAGACGCAATACATAGGGACATCACGGACAGGAACTTCCAGATCATTACACTGATTCTTAAGTCTGTTAATCAAAGGTGTCCTCAAAACCAAACACACTGAAGGCCTGGGAGTGTGGCTTAGGTGGTAGTCTCCTGCTTAGCAAAGGGTAAGCCCTGAGTTCAAACCCAAGTACCACCAAAAAAAAAAAAAAAAAAGGCTCTAACTGCTTGACTTCATTTCTAACCTCCTTCCCAACAGGGACAATTTCCATGATCATTCACAGTCTGGGATTCTGCAAGGCCTAACATGTCTACCAGGTCACTGACACACTGTCACTGTTGGTGGCAATCTCTGAAGTTCTGATTCCCCTCTTCTCTAGATCCTTATTTGCATAAACTGTAAATTACACATTCAATCTTTTGTTCTCTTAATACTGCTTATGGCTCTGTGTTCCTGATTCAACTGTAACAGCCTGCACAGCAGGAAAAATAATGGCTACTTTGTCCCATTCACTGACCAGCGAATGACTGCTCCCAGCTCCGCCTTCCATGGGAGAATCATGACCTTTCTTAGCCACCCAGACTATGGGAGCTTGAGCCACACCTTAGGCTTTACTGCCTGAGCCATGGCACCAATCAATATTGCTCTGGTTATTTAGGAGATGGGGGGAGTCTCAAGAACTATTTGCCTGAGCTGGTCTCCAACCATGATCCTCCTGACCTCAGCCTCCCAAGTAGCGAGGATTACAGGGGTGAGCCTGCAGCATCAGGCTTAATATCATGCACTTTTCTTAAAGGTAATTCTTATTTTTTTGTTTTATGCACTTTTTTTGTGATACTGGGGTTTGAAATCAGTGCCTATACCTTGAGCCACCCCACCAGTCTGTTTATTGTGATGGGTTTTTTTGAAATAGGGTCTTACAGAGCTATTTGCCCCATCTGGCTTTGAACCTGGATCTTCTGATCTCTGCCTCCTGCGTAGCTAGGATTACAGGCATGTGCCACCGGTACCCAGCCTTGTTTTAACATGCTTTAGACGTTTTACATTACCATAACATCTTATTCATGATAAAAACCTTTTCATTTTGTCAATGCTTTGTAGCCAAAGACCAAACAAGGTAACAGAGGTGAACGTTCACAACGCAGCCTCTCTTGGATTCGAGTCTAAGGGAAGAAATGTCCGTTATTAAACCTGACCTGGTACTCCTGGGTTATGAGTTTATTCCAGCTCCCCCTGGCTGGAGCTTTGGGCATGCTGTGGAGTTAGTTTTTGAGACAGGGTCTAGCTATGTAGTCCAGGCTGGCGTCAAACCCACCATACTCCTTCCTCGCTCCCGAGTGCTGGGATCACACCAATGGATGCTGCGGCTTTAGGACATGAAGACACCCCACTTCTCCCAAGGAGACCTAACCTGGGGGCGTCGTAACCCACGAGCATCAGCAGCACGTCCTCAAAGGACCTGCCTTGGGGTCAAATTCAGCTCTGAAGATCCCATCTCAAGGACTGGGATGGGGCTCGGTGGAGACCGTGTGCTTATCAAGCTCGAGGCCCTACGTTCCACCCTCAGCAAGCCCATTCGTGGCTCCTGTGCTCTTATGGGGACATCATCCCTGTGCTCGGAGGCGCTGAAGCAGCGGCGGCGGCGGCGGCGGCGGCGGCGGGACCCACGTCAGGTGGACACACCGCTGTGCACAACGCGCATCGGCCCAGTGCCCACAGCACAGCCACCGACGTCACAAACACGTCCCACAGGGCCCTCGAAAGGCACACTCATTGTCCCTCGGTCGTCCCCCTCACCCCCGCCAAGTTCTCTCACGTTCACTCTGGCAGGTGCATTCACTGACGACCTCTTGGGAACGCTTCCCTTCGGCGTCGCGTCGTCCACATGGCCGCTCGCCATGGCGCATGCGCACCCCCACCCCCGCCGCAGCCCCTGTGGCTTGTGTGATTGGCGGTCCCAGCACGAGCCTGCGCAGACGGCCGGAGCCGCCCCTTTCCAACCATTCCCCCCTCCCACACCCCCCCCACCCCCGGGTCCTTCAGAGCCTCCCGGCATGCACCGCGCGCTTCCTTCTGCTCCACACGCCGCGGAGCCCCCTGGCTCCGGCACGACGCTGGAGTGCTGAAACCCGGGACGCTGGCCTCCCTGGAGTCCGAGAAGGGGCCAGAGCCGCCACGGTGAAGCAGAATATGGAAACCCTGTGTTGCATAAGTATGTGGTGGGGGTGTTTTGTGGCTCGACCTCCACCTGCAGTTGCTGCAAGCTCGTGCCGGATGGAGGTGACACGTGACAAAGGATGACGGAAAGACCTGACGTGGGGCCGAGTGGGTTTGGTGGAAGTAGGTGTTGCAGCCTGAGCACCAGCACCTCTGCGGGTGGCTGTGACTGGTGTGGCCACCTCTTTCTGCCCATAGAAAGCTGTGAGATTTTTGTCACTGTCATCGGGGCTGGGAGAGTTCATTTGTCTCAGCTGTTGGTCCCCGCGTCCTGGTAGAAGTGACCTGTGCTCCGTGGTTTGGATAGGGCTTGAGTGTGTCTCCGAGGGTTCCAGAGTTGGCAGTTAAGTCCCCAGTGCTGGGTTGTTAAAGGGTGGTGGAACTCAGAGCCTCGCATTTGGAAAGCACTCTGTCACTTAAGCTATACCCCCAACCCCTTTGTTTTTTATTTTGTTTTGCGAGAGGGTCTCTAGTTTTTCCAGGTTTGTCTCAGACTGTGCTCCTTCTACTTTGTCCTCCTGAGGCGCTGGGATTACAGATATCCACCATCAAGCCAGGCTTTGTTTTTATCATTCTTAAGCCTGAAGCACAATTAACTACGGGTGCTGTGGACACCTTGGTGAGCTCACCTGACGTGGGTCCTGCTACTGCTTTGTCTCCACCTTCATCACATAAAGCTGTCACAGAGTTCATATAATCGGGGTGTGGAACCCCCTATTAGAATCCGTGTGGATCTTGTGTCTCTTAGAAAACGGAAGTCAAACTGTCCTTTTGGTAATATTCTTGCGGGCGGGTCCAAGACTCGGATAAATGAGCTGGAAGCTGGTGTCCACACAACCTGGCACAGCTGTCTTCTTCAAGGGGAGTTGTAAAATCTGAGGAATGTCTGCTCCCTTCTCCCTTCCGGATGTGACACAAGTGAGGCCAGTGCTGAATCCTACACGGAGCCATAAAGGGAAAAAGTTCTCCAAAACATATTCAGAAGCTGTTCCAAGAGAACCGTCTCCAGATCTACATTGTAGTGTTATCCTGACAGTTTTTTTTTTTTTTTTGGTGTTACCGAGGTTTGAACTTAGAACTTTGTGCTTGCTAGGGTGAAGCTACACCCCTGCCCTTTTTGGGGGCAGGCGGAGAGGGTACTGAGGATAATAATCAGGGCTTACACCTTGAGCCACTCTACCAGCCTTTTTTGTGATGGGTTTTTTCAGGTTGCGTCTCACAAACTATTTGCCCTGGCTGGCTTCCAACTGCGATCCTCCTGATCTCTGCCTCCTGAGTAGCTAGAATTATAGGTGGGAGCCACTAGCCCCCCAGTTCCCCTTTTTGCTTTGGTTATTTTTTGGATAGGGTCTAGAGTGTTTGCTCAGGGTCAGCCTCAGACTGCAATCCCCCTATCTGTGTCTCCCAGTAGCTAGGATGACAGGTGCACACCACCACATCCACATTGTTGAAATGGGTCTAACTTTTTGCTTAAGCTGGCCTCAAACTCCAATCCCCCAGTCTCTACCTTCCAAGTAGCTGGGATTACAGGTGTGAGCCATCATACTCACTGAACACTTTTGCTCTTACCTCACCTGTGCCATTTTTGTGTATTGCTTCTACTGCTTGTTGCCCCTCAGGTGGCTTTAGTACTTCTAAAACCAGTTTTAATGGGTGTCATCTGCATTTGGATGTCCTAGCCCATTGTCCCTTCAGGGTTCCAAGACAAGGCTCCCATTCCTTACCCTAAAAATATTTTCCATGTGTCCCCTTCCTCTGAACGTTATACAGCCCCTCTCCCCACCAAAGCAGTTTGGATTTCATAACTGGTGATGGCACATACACCAAGAGTATAATAAATGCTTGGGTGATGTGACTTCAGGATGGTCAGGACAAGTACAGCTAGTCTGGGTGGCTTAAGGGAAGCAGAGACAGTGGAGACTGGATAGCACACAAAAAACACTAAGGTGTACACTTTCAAGAGTGAACATACCTTGGAGTGTACACTCAAAACTTGTGCAGGCATAAGCACTAGTCCATATAGGAAAATGTCGTGGCTCCCATTTGGACATTTCAGAGTCCACAAATGACACATCTCCTTCAGCTCCACTCCTCTGAGGAATGCGTGCTTCACGTGGAATGGAAGCACATGGTGTATTTCACAACATATCCATGGGCACGGGCACGGGCACAGATGAGTGTGGCCAGCAGAGGACTTTGGACAGAGGTGTATCTCACATGCTCTAACTGATGCACAGGCTGGATAACCTCTCCCTTGGTCTCAAGTATTAAAGAAACTTAAACTAGCCTTACTATCTAGTGGGGTGTGGTGGGTCATGCCTGTAATCCTAGCTACTTGAGAGGCCAAACAGTTATTGAGACCCCATCTTAACCACTGAAAGCTAGGCATGGTGATGCATGCCTGTCAGCTGTGCAGGAGACATAAACAGAAGGATCGCTGTGCAAAGTGGCCCAGGCATAAATGTAAGACCCTATTTGAAAAATAACTAAAGCAAGGGCTGGAGGTGTGACTCAAGCAATAAAGCACATGCCTAGTAAGTGTGAGACCCTGAATTCAAATCCCAGTATCACAAAAAAAAGTTCTAGTACCCAATTTTTGCTGCTCAGCAAATTTATGGTACACTGCTGTGTATCAACCACAGAGATTACACTCAGACCTGTGGGAATCAAAATGCCAACAACACTTGGATGGTTCCTTTTTAAATTTACTTTTATTTTTTAATAACACATAGTAATTGTACATTATTTATGAAGTACAGTGTGACATTTCAGCACGTGTACACAAGGTGTAATGATCAGATTACAATACCTGGTGTATCTGCCACCTGACACATTTATTTGTGTTGGGAACCTTCGAAATCCTCTCTGCTGCCCTTTTCAAATATTTTATTAACTAGTTACCCTACTGTTATCCCTCCCACCCAACTGCACCCAGAGGAGGTGCATTCCATTCATGTGTTGTTCCAAAACATTCGGCTGAGGGTGGTGGATCCACCTTTAATCCCAGCCACTTGTGGAGACTGGGAAAATCCTCGTTCAAGGTCAGCCTGGGTAAAAAGTTCGAAAAGATCGCATCTCAATGAGTAAGCCAGGCATGGACGTTCACACCTGCGATCCCAGCTGCTCAGGAGGTATAAATCAGTACTGGCTCAACCAGGCAAAAACACAACACTATCAGACAAAATGAAAGTAGAACATGCTGCAGGTGTGGCTTACCTGGTAGGCACCTACCTAGCAAGCATGAGACCCTGAGTTCAAATCCCAGTACCATCATCAATTTCTCAAGAAACAAAAACCAGTTAATCACCCCTAGGTCAAAAAGATATTTACTAGAAACATAAGTTTTATATGACTGCACAATTACTTAAATCCTTAAATAACAAAATATACAAAGTATATCTGACGGGGTACAAAACCAGATCCTTACTAAGCATTTATATCAGAAACATAATGCAGAAATTAAATCACTAGGCACTCCTAGGAAGGCTGAACACTTAGAAGACAACACCATCGTTTGGGGTGCTGCTTAGAGGTCGAGGGCTTGCCTAGACTCAATGAAGCCCTGAGCTCCACCCCAGCACCATGAAAGAAAAAGAAAAAGTAGGCAATCCCAGTAACAGAGATTTCTCTCTGGTTCTGAAGTTTCATATACAAAATTAGTGAAGCATTCTACCTAAAAGTTTTCCCCCATTCTCTCCACGAATAAGGTTTCTGTGCAGTGTGCTTTTCTTCACCTCCTGCAAAACTTTTAGGGAGAGAGCACCCCTGTGCTCCTGTAGTGCTGGGATGGACCCAGGGCTCTCACCAGGCCCCCTCATCCTCTCAGGGCTTCTCTCCAGCGTGTGCTCTGGCGTGTGCTCTCAGGGATGCGAGGTACCCAAAGGCTTTCCCACACTGCTTGCACTCATAGGGCCTCTCCCCGGTGTGCGATCTGACGTGCACCCGCAGAGACGAGGAGCAACGGTAGGCTTTCCCACACCTGGAGCACTCATAGGGCTTTCCTCCAGCATGCGATCTCACGTGTTTTTGGAAATACTGAGAGTGGCTGAAGGCTTTCCCACACTGCTGACACTCGTAAGGCTTCTCGGCACTGTGCGTCCGCACGTGTTCCCGAAGAGAGGAGTGACAGCTGAAGGCCTTCCCGCACTGCTGACACGTGTAGGGTCTCTCCCCCGTGTGCGTCCTCGCGTGTATGCGGAGGGACGAAGAGAAGCTGTAGGCCCTCCCACACTGCCTGCACTCATAGGGTTTGGCACCACTGTGTGTTTTGACATGTCTTCGGAAGTAAGTGGGACAGCTGAAGGCTTTCCCACACTGCTCACACACGTGGGGCTTCTCACCGGTGTGTGTCCTCACATGGGCTCGCAGGGATGAGGGGTATCTGAAGGTTTTGCCACATTCCTTACATTCATAGGGTTTCTCTCCACTGTGTGACCTCCCATGTTCTCGAAGGGACGAGTAGCAGGCGAAGGCTTTTCCACAGTGCTGACACTCGTAGGGCTTCTCTCCTGTGTGCGTCCTCACATGGTCCCGGAAGGATGAGTAACAGCCGAAGGTTTTCCCACAGTGCTGACATGTGTAGGGCCTCTCTCCAGTGTGAGTCCTCACGTGGTCCCGGAAGTATGAGGGGCAGCTGAAGGCTTTCCCACACTCTCGACACTCGTACGGCTTCTCTCCAGTGTGGGTTCGCACATGTCGCTTAAGGTACGACTGAAACCTAAAGGTTTTCCCACACACATCACACGCATGGGTTTTCTCTTTGCTGTGACCTCTCACGTGTCTCCTAAAGGATGACAGGCGAGAGAAAACTTTCCCACACGTTTTACATTCCCAGGACCTTTTCCTACTAGGACTTTGCCGCTTTTCTTAGATGCTCTCCCTGAGTCCTCACATGTGGGGCGTTTCCCCACAAGGTCAGTTTTCACAGTAGGGCACAGGCACGAGACACACTGGCAGGCTTGCCCACATTCCTCATGGGGATGTGGCCTGTGTCCACCTGGAGACCTTCGCAGATTCTTGAAGGCTCCTCCACACCTAGCGCAGTCACTGGTGTTACCTCCAGGGGAAGCACTCTTGCACACAGTAGGCTCACAGTCTGGTTCGAGTTTCCTCCACTTGGACTCCCTTCACTATCTTCACAGAGCTGGTCTACCAAAGGACTGCTGCTCAAAACAGGAAGCACACAGTTAATGGGTCATGGATATTACAAATGAGTAAGCGAGGTGTACTGGCTCATGTCTGTAATCCCAGCTACTCGAGAGGTGATAATCAAAAGAACTGCAGTTCAAAGCCAGCCCAAACAAAAAATTAGTGAGGCCCCATTTCAATCTCAGCCTAGTGTGATGGTGCACACTGTGGCCCCAGCTATGAGGGAGGTGGAGGTAGGAGGAACAGTCTAAGGTCGACCTCAGGCAAAAAGCCACACCTTATTTGAAAAATAATTGAAGCTAAAAGGGCTGGGGGTGTGGGTAAAAACCAATCACAGTGTTCTCATGTGTGGGGTCTCTTGACAGCCTTTCCTGACTTGTGTTTCAGATACTCAGTGTGACATCACACTAACAGATGCTACCTTGAGAAAATCCTCCGCTAGTACACAATTGTGTTTCTCTTCATTCCGAGTTAGTCTAGCAGAGGCACTCGTGCTGCTCACCTCCCACACGGTGTCTGCATCTGGGGCTTGTCTCCATGGTGAACAAATCTCCAGTTTTCTCCGCAGACTGACCAGTAATCACGGCTTGTGAGTTTCACAATTTCATCCTCATTGCAAAGTTCAGTCCCCCAAATACACCACCAAGGGCTTGATCCGCTGGTGTGAACTTGAATGCAACAATCTGCAATCATTGGTAACACAGCATAGGTTCTTGGGAAAGAAATGATGCGAAAAAGCAAACACATTCCTGTGCAGTTTTTTTCACATACTGACTCAGAAAGTTAAGCTTAGTGGTGAGCACTTACTTGCCTGGTATGTGCAAGGCCTAGAGTTCAATCCCCAGCACCCAAAAAAAGAAAAAAAATGCCAAAAATGTAACCATTTTGGGGGGGCATTACTGGAGTTTGAACTCAAGACTTCACACTTGCTAGGCAGGCACTCTACAACTTGAGCCACTCTGCCAGCCACTCTGCCAGGAAGAATAGACAGGGGAACTATGGAAGCCTCTGAGCACCTCATCTATTGAAGGATCTCAGTAATAGGAACAATGAATCAAATGGCAGCTTGTTTCCTAAAGAGAATTCTATGGCTGGCACAGTGGCTCACCCCTATAATCCCGGCTACTTGGAAGGTGGAGATCAGGAAATCAAAGTTCAAGGTCAGCCTGGAAAAAAAGTTATGAAGACCCCATCTCAACCAATAAGCCAAACATGATGTCACATGGTTGTCACCCCAGCTATGCAGGAGGCATAAGCAGGAAGATCTAGGTCTGAGGCACATCCCAAACAAAAATACAAGACCTTACCTGAAATATAACTAAAGCAAAAATGGCTGGGAGTATGAAGAGGAGGATGACGAAGGGAGACAAACCTGTGTATGGCACAGGTTTATGGGTAAGTGTGGGATTCACTGCATCAAAATGACCATGTCATGTGGATTAATGCCAGGCATGGTGGTGGCCACCTGTCAGTCCACCCTCGGGAAGCAGGGGCAGGAGGATCAGGAGTTCCAGGCTGCCTTGGGCTGCATAGCTAGACCCTGTCTCAAGAAATAAGGCTGGACATGGTGACATACACCTGTAATCCCAGCTATTTGGGAGGCTAAGATAGGAGTTTGAGGCCAAACTGGAAAAAAGTTAGCAAGCCCTCATCTCAGCTAACAAGCCAGGTGAGGGGTTAGTGCATGCCTGTGAACTCAGTTATGCTGGAAATGTAGGTAGGAAGATCGCAGTCCAGGTTGACCTAGATAAAAAAGACCTGATTCAAAAAATAACTAAAGGAGCTGGGTGCTGGTGGCTCATGCCTGTAATCCTAGCTACTCAGAAGGCAGAGATCAAGAGGATAGCAGTTTGAAGCCAGCCCTGGGCAAATAGTCCTCAAGACCCTATTTCAAAAAAACCCATCACAAAAAAGGTGAGTGCTCAAGGTAAAGGCCCTGAGTTCAAACCCCAGCCCCCCCAAAAAAGATAAACCATCAACAATTCTTAACAGTTTGTCTCAAGGCGGAGCCTCTGTTCTTCACAGTGCAGGAGGGCTGGGACAGTGTCTTGTCTCTTTTCAAACATGTCCTCGTTTCTAGGCTTGAAGAAGAAAAGTTATGCTGGGGCCCCCAGGGATGCAGTGAAGGCACCGTCCTTACCAACAGAAGCCAGGTTCCTACAGGTCTCCAGCATCACATCTCTGTAGAGGTCCTTCTGAGTACAATCCAGCAGAGCCCACTCTTCTGGGGTGAACCTCACAGCCACCTCCTCAAAGACCACAGAGTCCTGCAATACACCACAGACTCCACTGCAGTCATGCCATCTCCCCAAAGGCGCAGGAGGACAGGGAGGCTGATGGTGAGGCACTGTTCATGTAAGTCCTAAATACACAGTCCTCACATGCTTGTGGGAGGTGACAATACACAGGCAGCACACTTGGTGACAGAAAGTGCTTTGGGAGCACAACTCACAGGGGCAGGTATCAGCTTAGACACACAGCTATTGAGAGAGGGCAGGTCCATGGAAAACCGAAACCGTCATCCTGGTGAAATGGAAACTGATAGGTGGCTCACGCCTGTAATCCTAGCTACTTGGGAGGCTGACATCGGAAGGACTGAGGTTTGAGGCCAGCCCAGGCAAATAGTTTGTGAGATCCTATCTCCAGTATAACCAGAGCAAAGGGGACTGGAGGTGAGGCTCAGGTGGCAGAGTGCCTGCTTTATAAGCATGGAGCCCTGAGTTCAAACCCAGTCCCACTGAAAAAAGAGAATAAAGAAAGTGACACATGCCTTGCTCAAAAGTGATTATTTCTACCAGGCACCTGGCTACCCTTTCAGTATTTAAAAAAAACAAAAACTGAAACTATTTATGAGTAGCTGGATTTAATTCCCAGCAATGCAACAACAAAAATAGAATGAAAAAGCACATGAAAGGGTTGGAGCCATGGCTCAAGTGGTAGAGTACCAGCCTAGCAAGTGTGAGGTCCTGAGTTCAAACTCCAGTACCGCCAAAAATAAAAACCTAGTCCTCGGATGTTTATAGCAGAGACAGGGTGCTGTACACACCGCTCTACGTGGTGGGGCTGACTGAGCCTGGCTGGCGAGGACTGAGGCTCTGGAAGAGGGAGGAGGGAGAAGAGAGTGGGGAGCACCACAGATGGGCCCGGGTGCTCGTGGTCCCTCACTCCTTCCCTGGGTGTTCTGACCCCAAACAGTCACTCCATCAGCCCTTCCAGCCCTGGATTCTGGCCTTCCCAGGTCTGCTGCATTTGCATAAGTTACACTGTGACAGGTGCCAACTCTTCACATCCAAACCAAACCCTCCAGGAACAGCCCAGGCGACCACAGGACAACCCAGGATGACCAATCCTCACCCCCTCCAACGCTCTGTGGCTTCTCTCAGACTGGTGCCTTCTTCAGCTCCCAGAGGCTGGAGGCCCAGAAGGGGAGGCTCCCTGGCAAGGCCACCTCCGTCTTCACAGACTGCTGTGCAGGCTCCACTATGGGCTCAGCTGGCGACTCACCTCAGACCCAGCTCCACCCCAGATGCTACACCTGCTTCCTGCCACAGTCTCTCAAAGCTGGTGTCCTCATGAGAATACAGCAGAATCATGCTTCTACCATGTTAAGGACGGGGAGAGGGAGAAAGTTCTAGAAGACGTTTTATCCCTCCGATCATCTCTCTCAAAACAAGTCTGAGAAAACTACTTGTCCTCTTGATAAATTGTAAAGCAACCACTGCCACTTCTCAGGGGTTTTTGGTTTTGTTGTTTTGGCTGTACTGGAATTCAGAGTTAGGGCCAGTACTTGCTAGGCAAGTACTTCACTTGAGCCATGCCTCCAAGCCCTTTTGCTTTCAGTTTGTTTTTAAATAGGGTCTTGCAGTCTTGCCAGGGCAGCCTCTGGCCATGATCATCCTACCTACTACACCTCCTGAATACCTGGTATTACAAGTGTGCGCCACAGTGCCCAGCCCCTTTTCTCAGATTTTATGCATTACCTTTTACAGAATTACATTCATTGCTGATATCCAGACATGAATAGAAAGTGGAAGAGGGTGATACATTATCTGTCACCTTGCACTTTGCCTCAGAGGGGCACTTCCATTTTTAAGAGTTTGTTCAGCCCGGGGCTTCACCCACCTCACCTAAGGTGTGGGGCTGTGGGCACCTCCCCCTAATGCCAGTGGGAGAGGAAAGGTTTTTCTGTACCTGAGAGGTTTCCCCCGGCGGCATCTCCAGCTAAGCCCTGGAATGCCACAATTCAAGAGCAACAGGAAAGAACAGAGCAGAGAAACTTAGCACCCTCACTAAGGACAAGCACAAAGCCAAAAGAATTTATGACTTTACACTGACTGACAGCTGGGGCTGGCACTGGAGAGAAAGCACTAGCCCTGAGCTGACACAGAGCAGCTGATCTCAGCTGGCAGGTGGTGGTGTTGAATTTTGATGAGCCCCATGCTCCTGGGAAGGGCAGGATTAAAGCATCCCCCACCCCACCCCACCCCACCCTTTGTTCTCTGGAGAAAGCAGCTGCAACCCTTATGACCCAGCAGGAGGCCAGCCCCAGCCCCTCCGTGGTTGGCTGAACTGCTTGTCCCCTCATCAACTGGAACAAAGTGTGTGATGGTTAGTTACACTTTGGGTTCTGCTTGCCTCCTTCCCCCAGGGCCCACAGAGACACACTGAGCCTGCACGCAGCTGCTCCGGAGAACAAGCTAGCATCAGGGCCACCAATGCAGACAATGCAGATCTACACTCGGGTTGTCATGCCTGCCTGTCATCCTGCTATTGCACGCCTGGCTCATTCTACCCTTATCCCTCTCTGGAGAAGGGGACATTTCCTACCCAGGTCTTCAGGTGCTTGGGATGTAAAGGGCACAGCATTCTATTCTAGTCCCCTGCTCCGTCCCTCCTGCGACTCTGTATTTGCCTATGTGACCACAGTCCCTTGTCCCCAGTAGCCAGTTTCTCAGTAATTCTTTCCTTCCTTCCTTTCTTCTTCCCTCCCTATTTTTTGGAAGTACTGAGATTTGAACTCAGGGCCTCAAGCTTGTCCAGCAAGCACTTGAGCCACACCTCAGTCCTTTTGCTTTTACATTGTTTTTCAGCTAGGGTCACCTGCTAACTTTGCCAGGACCAGCCTTACACCTCAATCATCTTAACTCTACCTCCTGACCAGCTGGGACCACAAGCCACATCAGGCTTGTTTTTGAGATGTGATCTTGCTAACTTTTTGCTATCGTGGCCGCCAAACGTGATCCTCCCATCTCCAGAGTAGCTGGGTTTTTTTTTTTTTTTTTTTTTTTGCTTTGGTTTCTTTGAGACAGACTGGCTAGGTAGCCTAGGCTGGTCTGGAACTCCTGATCCCCTTGCCTCAGCCTCCTGAGTGCTGGGAATACAGGCGTGAACCACCACACCTTTTCAGTAAGTCTCTCTTTACTAAGTTTGGATCTTTTCTTTCACACAAACGGGACCCAGCATTCATAATCTCCTGGTGCTCCCAATCTGAGCAAACACAAAAATGGGTTCCAGATCCCCTTTTCCTTGGGGACAAAATTGACAATTTATCTCTCTACTGCTTGCACCTGTTCTCCCCCAGATTTCTACTTGCTTCTCCTATGAATAAAAGAAAAGTCTTTTTGCTGTGCTTTAGGGGGCTTACAGATCTCTGAGACTGGACTGTTGTCTACTGCAAGTCTTTTGAATAAAGTTCGGATTTTGCCCTGAAAGGTCCCGAGACAGATTCCCCCAAATTAGCCTCCGACTGCCCTCCGGCCCAGTGGTCCTCGCAAACTGCCCCCAGTACGTCCCGGACCCTGTGCCACTGTCTCCCACGGCCCGGTGTTCCGACGCTACCCTCCCCAATGTCGTCCCGCCCGGCCGCGGACTCGCACGGACACCGAGGCCGGGGAGAGGCGAGGCCGCTCCCATGCCGCCCTGCCCTGCCCGGGCTCCAGGCCGCGCTCACCATCCTCCACCGGCTCCCAGGCTCCCCGTGGGTCCTCCTCGCCGTCCCGCCACTTAAGGTAGGCTCCAGCCAGGGCGACAACAGCACAGTCGCTGGGCAGCGACGCCCCGCCCTCACCACCCTGACTGGACAGAACTCAGGATGGCAGCGACCAGGATTGGACGGTAGCCCTGAGGCTAGAGCCTCTGATTGGCAGATACAATGATTGGGCCGCTCTCCCAGAATCCGCCCCCTGGAGCCTGAGCGACAGATGCCTCGTGACGTCCGGTGTCTCCAGTGGGCCCCTAGGCTAGTTCTGGACTTCAACCCCGCCCCGCCAGCGTCCTCCCGGCCTGCCACGCCCCCTGCAGCCTGAGTGACAGGCCGGGAACACCCGCGGCTGGCCCCGCCCCGCCCGGGAACGTCCATGTCGGGGCTGAGCTCCTATGAGCGGCCTCAGCGCACCGGTCGGCGGCCCCTCTGCGTCCTCTTCCTGGGACTGAGGGTCCAACTGTGCGCGGGAACTCCAGACTCAGTTTACCCTTGGGCGACCCCATCCCGTGACAGAACAGGGGGTCCTGAGTCCTGCAGGGTGAAGGGTCGACCCTGTCTGCAAAGTCAACCGTGCATGTGAGCTATTTAAGAAGGACGTCACCACGTGGGCTGAGGTCGCTCCTTGTGGACATTTAACACAGGACACTCCAGTCCCCAAGCGACTGTCCGCCGCTCGCAGCTCGCAGTAGGTGCTGCGCCCCAGGCCACTGGGGCCTTTGGAGCCCTTTGCAGGGCAGGGACGCCTCTCAGGCCACAAGAAATGAGTCACAGGTGTACTTCTGACACAGAAAGAAAAAAATTAGTTCTGCTATTGTGATTCTAGACAATTTAAAATGTAAAAGGCTGCCGTGTCCTTAAGGCAATAGCTGCTGTTGCTTCTCATCTGGCAATTCCTTTAAAGCCAGTCCTCTCGTGTGATGACGTGTTCATGATTACTCGCTCCCAAGCTCCAGGTTACATAAAGTCGTGCTATTTGGTTGTTTGGGGTTTTTTGTTTCTTTTGGTTTTTTTGGTGGCACTGGACTCAGGGCCTCACGCTTGCTAGGCAGGCGTCCAACCACCTGAGTCACTCCTCCAGCCCTTTTTTTCCTTAAACGCTTCACGAATTTGCGTGTCATCCTTACGCAGAGGCCACGCTAATCTTCTCTGTTTCATTCCAATTTTATTGTATGTGCCTCTGAAGCGAGAACTCCAGTCCTTTTTTCCATGTTGGGCATCTTTATTTGCCCAGGCTGGCTTCAAACCGAGACATGTGTGGGCGGGGGGGTGGGGGGTGGGGGGGGGTGCTGAACAAGTGCTTTACTACTTCAGCCAACCTTTTCCATTTTTTCTCTTGGCGGTACTGGGGTTTGAACTCAGGGCCTCAAGTTTGCTAGGCAGGCGCTCTGCCACTTGAGCCACTCTGCCAACCTCCAGTCCTTTTTGCTTTAGGGATTTTCCAGATGGCATCTCACACTTTTGCCCAAGGCAGCTTGGGACTTTGATCCCCTTACCAATGCTTTTATCGTGGCTTGGATCACAAGCATGGGCCACCACACCAGGCCCGTGGTCATCAATTCTGTAATGAAGATGTGAAGGCTCTCCCTGGGGCTAGGGGTGGGGCTCCGTGGCACAACACTTGCCTAGCAGATGACAGCCCTGGGTGTGATCCCCAGCACTGCAAAATTAAAAAGATAAAGCTTCTCTCCCATCTTACCTACACCAAGCTACATCTTTTTTCATTGTTGTGCTGGCGGTACACTGTGACATTTAAGAAAGTGCTTACAATACATCATAGTTGAATTCACCACCTCTGTTAATCTCCTTTATCCCCTCTCTCTCTCCAGATGTGTCTTCTTTGATGACATTTTACTGGCAGAAATTTCTTCCACGGCCAGTTTTCCAAAGTCACATTTTGCATGTCTACACTTTGAAAGGCTGGCAGTCTTCTACCACCCTTTAGTGAGTAACTTTTGAAGATAGTGATTTATTACCAGCTGCTGGGTTAATATAACCAGACATGCTCAGGGAGGATTCTCGCTAGTCCAGAGGACAAACTCATGCTTCAGAGGGAAGTGGTGCATATTCAGCACATTCTTACAGGTCAGGATTCCAGCCTTTCCTGCCTCTGTGCTGTTTTGCCTCTCTGCAAACTGTGCTGAGAACACTGCCGGTGGTCCTCCTCTCCTGAGGAGATGCACACTACATAACCATGTGTTATGTAGCCAGAACCTTCTAACACCTAGGCTGAAGCCTGTCCCCATTCAATGCTAAGTCCTCTTTCCTATACCTCCTGTCTCTGTGGCTCTGAGACTCTAGGAACTTCCTGTGAGTGGCATCATGCACTGTGTATTCTTCTGTGTCTGTTCATTTCACTGAGCACCTTTTTCTCAAGGTTCCCCACATCAGCTGGGTGCCAGTGGCTCACACCTGTAATCCTAGCTATTCAGGAGGCAGATATCAGGAAGATCATGGTTTGAGGCCAGCCTGGACAAATAGTGAGACCCTATCTCAATAATACCTAGCGGAATAGCTCAAGTGCTAGAGTGCCTGCCTAGCAAGTGTAAGGTCCTGAGTTTAAACTCTAGTTCCACAAAAAGAAAAAAAAAATGGCCCCCCACATTTGAACAGATGTCAGAATTTTTTTCATGATTAATATTCCCTTACATTTGTTGAGGCATTTGAATTGTTTCTACCTTCTGCTGTTGGAACTAATGCTGCTTAATTGCTTTAAGATGGCAATATTCTCTAAACTCATCCTAAGATTCAATTTAATCCCTATCAGAATCCCAAATGCCTTGCTTTGTGGTTACTGACAAAATGATTCTAAAATTCGCATGGAATTGCAACAAACTCAGAATAGTCAATATAATCTTGAAAATGAAGAAAATAGGACTCACATTTCCTGATGTCAAAACTTACTGCAAGCCAGGCATGGTGGTGCAATCCTGTAATCCCAGCACTCAGAAGGCTAAGGTGGAAGGAGCATGAGTTTGAGATCAGTCTGGGTTACAAAGTGAGACCTGTCTCAGAATACCACCACCACAACAAAAATCGTACAAGTTACAGTAATGAAGACATGACTGAGGTATAGCTCAGTGTAGAGCACCTGCCTAGCATGCAGGAGGCACTGGGTTTGACCTCCAGAAAATAAAAAAATGGTAATGCAGTAAAATAGGATCGATTTATAGGTTAATAAAATAGAATAAAACCATTTCAGTTAAATCAAGGGGCCAGGCATGATAGGTCCTATCTAATCCCAACTAGTAGGAGGCAGGGGCAGATGGGAGGAGCACAGTTTAAGGCCAGCTGGTGGGTGGTGGTGTGGGGAGTGAGACCCCATTCAAAGAACAAGCAAGGCATGATGGTGGACTAATGTGACCCCCACAGTTTGGAGGTGGAGGCACAAGGACAAGGCCAGCTTGAGTGTGAGTTCAAGGCCAGCCTGGGCTACACAGCGAGACCTTGCCAAAAAAGAAAGAAAAACAAAAGAGGTGGTAATAAAGGAGCGAGGCTCTGATCCACCCTATAGGAGGGACCCTGAGGACACGGTGCTCAGTGAGAGAAGCAGACACACAAACACACAGCCTGTGACTCCATTGATAGGACACGTCCAGAACAGGAGGATCCAAGGACAGGAAGTAGTAGACTCATGGGCTAGGGGCTGGAGCGGGGATGGGGAGATGGGAGATGAGTGCTAAAGAGCACAGTTTGTTCCCGAGGTGATGAATGCACCAAATGGAGTGAATTGTGCACTTTAAATGGGTGACTCTTGTGGTATCTGAATTATACTTGGGGGAAAAAAAAAAAAAAAAGCCGGGTGCTGGTGGCTCATGCCTATAATCCTAGCTACTCAGGGGGCAGAGATCAGAGGGTCAAGGTTCAAGGCCAGCCTAGGCCAAGAGTTCACGAGACCCTATCTCGAAAAACCCCATCACAAAAAAGGGCTGGCAGAGTGGCACACATGGTTGAGCACCTGCCTCGAAAGTGTGAGACCCTGAGTTCAAAACCCATACTCACCACCCACAATAAAAACCCTGTATGTTAAAAAATGCACTCTAAAGTATTTAAGTAAGAAAAAAAAAAAAAAAGAACATGGGCATGTGTGTCCAGTGGCTACCATGCTGGACAGCAAGGCCCTGGTGAACATGCACACCCATAGGATATAGGTGACACTGACAGTTTGAGGGCTCACTCTGAGTCAGGCACGGGAGACAAGCAAGGTGGGAACTGTGCTGGTAAAGCCGAAGCTGAGACCCCAGGATGCTGGAGGTGCTGGATGTGGACGACATCTGCAAGGAAAGTCTTAGGCAGGGCTGCCCCAGCCCTTAGGAACATCACGCCATGTGCCCGGTGCCAGGCACAGGGCACAGGATTATTTGCCCTTGGGCTCCAGTTTTTCCTTATCCCCAGCCCTCCATTCTATACCCTTCACCTCCCTTTCAGGAGTATGTACTCTGTGCAATTGTGTCTTGGAGAAATGTACCTTTCTTTTCTGTTTTTGTGGGTTTGAACTCAGGACCCTGCATTTGCTAGGAAGGTGCTTCACTGATTGAGGGAGGCCTCCAGCCCTGGAACTTTTTGATTTGATGGGGCTAGAAGTTAACAATTGCCTTGAGTCTCAGGGGAGACTTTGAACTTGGACTTTGGAACTCTGTTGGAACTGTTAAGACTGAGAACTCTTGGAGATGGACTAAATGCATTTTGCATTGTGAGGTGGACATGAGGGGGCCAGAGGTGGAATGTCATGGTTTCAATGTAAAATGTCCTTCAGCCAGACACTGGTGGCTCACACCTCTAATCCTAGCTACTCAGGAGGATCAAGGTTCAAGGCCAGCCGGGCAAATAGTTCGAGAGACCCTATCTCGAAAAGCCCTTCACAAAAAGGGTAGAGTGGCTCAAGGTGAAGGCCCTGAGTTCAAACCCCAGCACCGCAAAAAGAAAAAAAAAAAAAGTGAACAATATAAACTACCAAAATAAATAAGTAAATAAAAATCCACACAACTGGAAAGTTTAGCTCCTTACATGTTCACCCAAAAGACAGGGGACAGGTATGGGAGATCACTTCACTAAATTTGTACCACACATTGCTCAATTTTTCAGAGATATTGCTCCTGTTAACCATACAAATCACATAGATGTTCCATGAGTGATGCTTGTCAAACACGCAGCTCCTTAAAAAACAGTATGGTCAGGGCAGGGGGAGGAGCGGGTGGCTAGCAAGGCCCTAGGTTAGATCCCCAGCACCACAAAATAAGGATGGTGGTCACAAGGTGAACCCTTCACAGGGCTCTCCTTATCTGCCAAATACAGGAACCATTACCTAACTTGACTCTGCAGGTGTGGGACTTGTCTGTTATCATCGGGAGCTGAAGAAGGCTGGCGCCCAGGCAAGCAGAACGACTGTGCCTGCCGAGACATTCATTCGGCCGGTAGGGCCGACCCAGGCAGTGTTAGCTCCAGTGTTTCCTCCAGGAACACACTGCAGTCATCAAGGGTCGAAACCACCCTCTTTCTGAAGCCACCTGTTTTCAGATTTGCTGAAAATCCCGTCTATTAAGACTTTGGACCTTGGCCGGCTTGTACCTGTGACACTAGCTACTCGGAAGGCTGAGATCAGTAGGATCGTAGTTCGGGGCCAGCCCAGGCAAATAGTTCGGGAGACCCCCATCTCCAAAATAACGAGAGCAAAATGGACTGGAGGTGTGCCTCAAACAGCAGGGCGCCTGCTTTGCAAGTAGAAGCCCTGAATTAAAAAGAAAAAAAATCACTTCCCACAGAACTCGTTTCCATTAACAACGCAGGTGCAGGGCTCAGATAAGGGGTC